CCCTGTCCGCCCCCGCCCCCGGTTTAGGGGAAGCCCCGCCACACAGGCACGGCACAGCGAGGCCCAGAGGCCCAGGCGTCGTACGAGCCCCGCGGGCCGCCAGGCCGCGCCCATCGCGCCCAACTCGCTTTGAATGAGGACCACTGCGTGATAAGGGCGCCGCTCTGACCTCCTCCGACGCTCGCCGCTGTGACCCAAGTTAATGGATCGTTTCCCAAGGACGGCCCGGGCCAAGCGAAGGGCGCGGCGGCAGCGCAAGCGGTGCCCTGCCCCGGAGGACCTCTCATCCTCATCCTCCCCGCGCCCCTCACATCAGGCCGGGGCTCTCATAACATTTTAAAAGCGGTTTCTGGCCGCGGCGCCCCGCTGGCTCCGCGCGCCCTCCTGCCCTCTGCCCTCTGCCGCCCTCGCCCGTGGTGGGGCCCGCGGGGTCGCTCCCCCTCTCTCTTTTTGACCTGGCCGCGCCCGAATATGCGAGCGCGCGAAGGGGGCGGCCGGGCTGGGCCGGGCCGGGCCGGTCGTTTTCGGGGTCTTGCTTTACGATAATTGGCTGGGCGCAACACGCGGCGGCAGCGGCGGCGCGCAACAAGGCGGGCGGGCGGAGCAGGGCGGAGCGAACTAGACTAGGGGCCGCGGGGATATCAACTTGCCAAGTACGCTGCGAACTGCGTCTATTCTACCCCGGCAGGGCCAGGCGGGGCGGGCTTCGGCAGAGCCTCGAGGGCCTCGGTTGGTGGCGCCGGCTCGGCGCGGCTCGGCGCGCGGAGTTGGCTCCCGGAGTCGTTGACGCGACGCGAAACCGGAGTAGTAGGAGCTTTCCCCCCCAAAACTCTCCCCCCATAGTCGCCGAGCTCCCGCCGCGCGGGTTTGGGGGTGAGAGCGACAACTGACTCGCGAAATAACGCTGGGCGCAGAGTGCATTATAAAAGGGACCAGTTCCGCGCGGCTGACAATCTGCGCCACGGCGGCGCCTTACGGGAGGCGAGGGTAGGCAACTCGCTGTCACGCCTGCTTGACGGGACTGCATCGCAAAGGAAATGGGGTCTGCTGCAGGTCGAGGAGAGCGCGAGTGGGATAGAGAAACCGGAGTATTACTAATGTGAAATCGAGAACAGGACTGAGGTAGCTTTTGTATAAAATAATATTTATTTCCCGTTATGCAAAAATATAATTTACAACGAAAGTGAACACAAGTTTATATACACATGGGGTTTATGTTATGTACAAATGTTAAAGAGTGGAGGCTACGTGGCTCCCGAAGCCTTGAGCATCTCTCATACGCTAACTAAGCCTGTTACAGGCGATCACAATATTCTATAAGTGTGTCACTTTCCGGAGAGCCTGAAAGTGACAACTGTAGATGTCGAAGTTTGCTGGCCGTTATCAGGGGCGTCTGTTGTCCCGTATGAAGTTGCAACGACTAATAGCCGCCCTGGTCGCCACCATGGCCGCCGCCGTGGCCGCCCCCGTGGCCGCCTCCGCCGTAGCCTCCTGCGCCGTTGCCGCCAGCACCACCGAATCCTGAAGAAGAAAAAAGAAATCACATGTCACCCACTGACTCCTCTCTTTTGAGGGGGGAGCTGATATGCCGCAAACTCACCGCCGCCGCCGCCGCCATTGCCGCCGTCAGCGCCGTCACCACCCTGGTAGGACACGGTGGGCCGGTAACCGCCCTGGTCCGCGACGTACTCCACGGTCTGCAGGCGGCCGTCGGGCAGGAGGACGTGGTACGAGCCCTGCGTCAGGTCGCCGTCGCGGTTCTCCTGGTGGCCGAACTGCGTGCCGTAGTCGGGAGCGTCCACCTCGTACGAGAACTCGTACCGCGCCGGCTCGTTCTGGGACAGGAACAGGACGAGGTGAGGTGCGTGGTGCAGCCAGCAGCGAAATGCTGTCGCTTTCATGGTAACTGGAGCACCGCGGACTTACCGACTCGTCGTCATCGCCGTATCCCCCGGCGCCGCCTCCGTGGCCTCCAGCGCCGCCCCCATAGCCGCCGCCGGATTGTCCACCGTGCCCGCCGCTGGAGTAGCTGCCTCCGGCGTAACCGCCCCTGGAGTTGCCGCCGCTGGAGTAGCTGCCGCCTGCGTAGCCTCCGCCGGATTGTCCGCCATGTCCGCCGCCGGAGTGTCCGCCGTGTCCGCCACTGGAGGGTGCGCCGTACGAGGACGACGGGGAAGGAGCTCCGTAGTTGCTGGACGGGGCACCGTAAGAGGATGACGGGGTGGAGGGCGCGCCGTACGAGGAAGACGGGGTCGATGGTGCGCCGTAGGAAGACGACGGGGAAGGAGCGCCGTAGCTACTGGACGGGCTGCCGCCGCCGGGAGCGCCGTAGGAAGAAGACGGGGTGGACGGCGCGCCGTAGGAAGACGACGGGGCCGGGGCACCGTAGCTACTGGACGGGCTGCCTCCGGAGCCGCCACCGGGAGCGCCGTAGGAGGTAGACAGAGACCTATGGACACCAAGGCCAATCACACGAGGAGATGAAACGGTTTCTCTACGGTGAAGCAGGAGCTGAGCTGCGCGCTCGACTCACCTGCGGGGGGCGCCGTACTGGGAGGAGGGCCTAGCGGCGGAGCGGGAGGGAGCGCCGTACGAGCTGGAGGGTCGACCAGGGCGCGACCCGCCGCGGCCAGGGGCGCCGTAGCTGGACAACACAAATAACATTTAAAAAAAAAATTAAAACTTCGAACATCAAAACACTTTTTAGCGGATGATACCTTTAATTGAACCGAGACTAATCATAAAGTAACGTTAAGTACTTTCAACATACAACGTATTTTTAGGCATGTAATGGCACAGGCAGAGTGGGGGAATGATTACCCTTTGTAGGGATACTACTGCATTTAGTTGAAATGCAGATGACTGTGTACTTAACATTGTGATATTTACAGGGGTGGAAAGCCAGTAACAGTTTAGAAGACGGGGAGCGAAAATTAGCACAAAATCGGGGATGGGAGTAGAACTGCCATCGGCAGACTTCTGTTGGCCCGTCTGGTCCACAGCAAGAGAGGGGAACGGCCGGCGCGGCGCGCCTTTAAAGAATCTCAAATTGCGAGGGAAAACAGTAGGCTGCACCAAGCCTCTGCCCCCGCGCATCCCACCCTTGAAGTTTCGCACCCTTCCTCTGGCTCAGCAGGGGAGGGGAAAAGGAGAGGGTGATGCCTCCCCGACGACACTTGCCCTTCCCTTTATACTGCCGGGGGGAAAACATTTTGACGAACTGCTCGTCAGCACAGGCACGCCCGGCCTGGCCTGCTGGTCGTCGGAAAGAAAGAGAAAGAGGCACTCTAATTACTTGAGAAACATTTTCACTAGGATGTTGTTGTTGTTGCTGTTGCTTTTGTTGCCCCCCCCCCCCCTCCTCCTCCCTGTCGGGGGCCAAGGAAGGGAATGGGGGACGAGGAGCTAACCGTCTTGAATTACCTTGATGAGGGCGTCGCCGGCGCGCCGTAGCTGGACGAGGGGGCGCCGTAGCTCGAGGAAGGCGACGAGCCGCCGCCAAAGCCGCCGCCGAAACCTGAAACGAGGCGAAAGCAGCCAGTTTGTACACGCTCGTTTGTCTCCTTGTTTTTAGTTTTTATTTTTTTGTAAGGGCAGGACTTGCTTTTTTTTTCGGATTTTTTTTTGAGTGTACGTTACGTTTGCCAAATTTCCACAAACAAATAAATACAAAATACCATGGCGCACAACAAACTTCCCCTGTCCTCACCTCCAGACGAGGGTGCTCCGTAGGACGAGGACGGTGCTCCGTACGACGAGGACGGCTGCCTGCTGGGCGCGCCGTACCGCGAGCTGGGCTGCTTCTGCCGGCTGGGCGCGCCGTACGAGCTGCTGGGGGGCTCGGCCACCACGGCGACGGCCAGCACCACCGCCAGCAGGGCGGACAGCTGGTGGTGGAGAAGGGAGGAGCGAGAGTGAGCGAGACGGCAAGGCGACACAACACCCTCGATACGAATATGATGGATGACGAAAACGTCTGCGTCCTGCTGGTCGGCCACATCGTCCCGCGCGCTCCTAAGCGGACCGGCCGAGGAGGATCGGGAAGAGGAGGGCGGCGGGGGAGGTGATGGCGCCATGGCGATGGCGAGTGTACAGCCGGGCTGAGCCGGGCGGGCAGCGGAGGCCCTTTCAGCGGCCCGTCCCGTCCCGCCCCGGCGCGCATCTCTTTCTTCGGGACTTTCCTTTCGGCCTAAACCCTTTTGGCCCGCGCCACGCCACGCCGCGCCACGCCCGGAGCCCCGCCAGATACTCATCGCGACCTTGACACCTATCTCGATCTGAATCAGATGCGTCCGTGCGCGTGCCCGCCCGGGCGGCATTCAGTACACGGCTGTTGTTGTTGTTGTTGTTACATTGCGGTCACTCAGCTAAAGCGAGGAGGCGCCGGTGGTGGGCACTACACACTATAACATGCTGCCGCAATAGAGAACCTCTACATCCCAGGAAATTGTACAAATGTGAATTTAAAAAAATAAATAAATGATATTTGAGAAATTGTGATAAGTGTCATTTTTTTCTTTAAATGGCTATTAAAATTTGTAAGTTCGAAATATCTTTGGCATAAACATGTCAAATTCTGAATGAACATATTTTTTTGTTCATGAACTAAAGTCCCGAGTGCCGTTTTTCCGCTTCGTCGGTACAGCAGGGGCTCGAAGAGCAGGGTGCGTCCATCTAGCCACAGCCAGCTGGTTGCCCAGCTCTAGTCTACCTTCTAGAAATATATATTATTATTTTTTTTTAAAAATGGGTTGGGCGACAAGTTGTGCCCTTTTATGATAGCACCCTTCAGAAGAAATACTTTTCATTTTAATAAACTCAGCTAAATGGAAAATTTTCTTAAGTCGATCGAAATAATATATGCTGCCAACATTTGGACTCACCTTAAGTATCATGATTCCTGACGCACTGATCGACTGATGCTCCTCTTTTTGTCGAATCCTGCGAGCGAAAAATCCTGCGTCGGGTCCTCCTGCTGCTGCTGCTGCACCTGCTGCCGATGCCGCTGCGGTGCTCGGACTGATGCTCTGATCTGATTCGGCCGCCGTATTTATACGCCGCCTATTTGGCGATAGGAGGAGGACGCATTGCACCAAAGAAGCGCCCCCTCCCGGGCGGGCCTGGCCTCCCACGCGCCGGCGGGGGTGCGAGTGGGGGCGCTACGCTACGCCACGCCACTTCTTGCTCCCCGCGACAAGCGCAATGCCACATGTCCACCTGAGGCTTCTCTGGAATGACTCTCTTCCCCTGAAGGTCGGCCCGGACGCACGCGTGAAGCGACGTCGTGGCCCATTCCGAAATCCCATGGACGCCCTGGGGAGAGAAATCGAAATCCCATGATCTCTAACTCCATGGGCATGGGTTAGCGGGTCTGGGATCGTCCAGAAAGTACGTCCGGTTTTTACATAGTTTATTCGGCAAATTGCGGGAGCTCGGCGCCTGTGAGACTCGGGGTAGGCCACCCCGCAGTACACACATGCGCTGCAGGCGAGATGTTGCCTACCTGCCAGGCGCTACGAGAGCTTAAGGAGGCTGAACTTGTCAGGTTCGTAACGGCGAATGGAGGACGTACTTTCCATGTGAGCCTCATCACCCTCTTCTTCCAAGGATGTTCTTCCTTATTATGAAAACGTTTTACATGCGACAGAGAACGCCATGGAAAACCGTTCCCCACGATAGGGCAGTTTGTTGTAAAATTGCGTGGATGTAGGCGAAGTTGAAGGGGGGCGGGGGGCGAGCCGATAGTGTACGGTTGGCATAAGTAATATATCGCCGTCCCTTTGGCGAGTGTCCGCCCCCGGTCCGCCCCCGGTCCGTCCGGTGCATGCGCTAATGTCTGCGCGATCCATCACGCCGTGTGACACTCCGTGTGACACTCCGTGTCAGCGCGAGGGAGATAGCGAGAGGGAGGGCGAGGGAGAATGTGTTTGGCCATGTGTGTTTCTCTCTCTCTCTTTTCCCCTTTTTTTTTCGAGTGGTTGTCGTTTCGCCGACGTGCTCGGTCGCGGGGTACATGTTGTACGCTCCGCTTTGTACCGCCGTGTTTCTGGATAAAGATGCCAATGACCGTTCGTTAAAAGTGCGACAAAGAAAAACAAACGAGTGTGTTTCCACGTTCACCCCTCGCCTCCCACAACCTCCCGAAGTGCAATATCTATCTGCCCCTCCACCTTCTTTCCCTCAGATCTGGCGCCCGCTTTGTGTTATTGGTAAATAAGGAGAAAGAAAGATGGAGAAGTTGAAGAAATGGCTGAGAAAAAATTGGCAAGAATGTCAAGGGGGGAATGTCAAGAACTAGGGAATGGGGGCACGAGGGGGTAAAGGGGAAAGGGGTGCGAGGTGGAGGGGCGGATTTGGGGGTAATGTTTATGTTTACCGTAAAATTTAACTTTCACGCTCCTTTGATTACCCCAGCAGCGCCCTTCCCTTTTGCCCGCTCGGGCGACCCTGCCCGCCAACGCCAACACCTCGTCTGGGCTGGGCCCGGCGCCCCGCGGGAAAAGCGCAGCTGGGCTTAAGACATGCCGCTCAAATAACTCTTTTGAGCGGCGCTGTCGCCTGCCCTCAGTCG